AAACGTTTTAGCTTCATTGTCCAAATAAATATAGAGGGGGGTGTACCTCTCCAGTTATAGATAACTGAAAGAGGTGCTAACTACTGTATTCATGTAACCACAAGGTTATTGATCCCTGGCACATGGATATGGTATCTCAAAACAAATCAATGATCCCGTCTCCCTTTGCAGGCTATGGTGAGCACAAACCGAGCCACTGTAAGTGGATTCTTCCTGGCAGGAAAAAGCATGGTGTGGTGGCCTGTGAGTATAAGTAATTTCTCAGGACAGTTTATTACATTTACATTTCAGTAGATGCTCTTATCCAGAGCGACTTACAGTTAGTGAGTGCATACATACATATATATTTTCTTTTCATACTGGTCCCCCGTGGGAATCGAAGCCACAACCCTGGCGTTGCAAACGCCATGCTCTACCAACTGAGCTACACGGGACTGTATCTCAATAATACATTATGACATTCAAATGCATCCATCGTTCTCTACTTTGCTGACCACTGTTTGTGACACTGGCCCATATTTGGAAAGACACACCCTTTTCTCCTGAACTATCCCAATACTTGCCTGTATTGGAAATGTCCAGCTCATACTTAAATCAGACAAATTATGTTATAAGGTGTTTATGTTTTATCTTGTTGCATTGGAGGTCCACAAATACTATACCTTTCATTTTAGACTGATCAGTTCCCAATCATGCAATAATGACTAGTGTTTATTTTACCATAACACGTAGTGCCTAACTTAATTGCAAATGTTCCTTCCAGTGGCGGCTGGTGAAAAATATTCTCGGTGGGGCTGTGCCATACTTTTTTTTTCCTGTAACCATCGCGATATATTTTAACACAAACTGCAGGACAGCAGTGCTCAGTGAAACATTCAGTAATTATTTAATGCCAATATTAAAAAGTTGAGGCATTCTTACACAAAAACATATTACACAAACCCAAGCCTTTCATTTGCATTTAAAGTGAACTTTTCACCATTGGTAGTAAACAGGCAACGCAACAGGCATGCTGTCAGAACAGAGTGGAAAGTGGACAATAACATGAAATTATTATAAAGTTTATAGGAAATCTTACACTGTATAAAAGGATGTATAATATAGAAATGGATATCAAGTGGATGAACTCAAACCTTTGACTGGAAGAATAGCATACAGTATTTTATGATCATACTAAATGTGACTAATTGTTAATGTGCTCCAGAACTGCAACAATTAATTGATACAAAACAACATATATACAGTAATATTAGCAAAGACACTATTAAGACTTTCTAGAGTACCATATATAACTGGATTTTTTATGCTAAGGTCAACTATATACAAAGAAACATGCGGCCAGAGCTGCTCTGTGTGTGTGTGTCTGTCATCTTATTTGTACAGGAATTTTGCCCGTCTGTCCTTCTGAGTGGCAAACCTCTCAATGACCCTTTGATTAAAGTCAGGAATGTCCCTGACAAGTTTCTTCTCCATGGAGAGCATGGCCAGAGCGTTCAGGCGATCCTGTGTCATGCTGTTTCTCAGGAAGGTCTTGATCCTTTTCAGTGTAGAGAAGCACCTTTCTGACTCAGCAGTTGTCATGGGTGTGGTGATGAGGATCTTGAGGAGGCTGGCAGTCTCTGTGAAAGTGCTCTGAAGGTTGTTCTCCATGAAGAACTGGTACAGGGGCACTGCACCACTACAAGCCTTGAACTCACTGTTCTCATAGATGAGGGACAGTTCGGTTTTGAGCTTGGCCTTGTTCAACATGGGGTACGCCTCCACGGTTGTTTCAAGCGCTGTATCGGGGAACTTCACACTGTGTTGTGGGAACAACTCTCCGTGCAATAGTGTTGCGCTGATGAGGTGCTGGGTGAAGGAGAACCTCTCTTTGGCATGACTCAGGATGGTATCACATACCTGTAAAAGATACATCATCAGCTTTAATTTGCAATTAAGCTATTTTGATGCAAGTGATCCTGACTGACACATGCCTATGTCCAACTCAAGTATATGATTACCAAGGTGCTGATTGTTCAGGGTTTTGGCTACATACTACCAGGCCTGAAAAAAGTTCTAGGGGGAAACACTGACAATTACATCACAACTTACCTCTATAGCCAACCTCTGTTGTTCTCCTGGTCCCAGCATCCTCCGTCGCTTGATGGGCTGTTGCTGCTCGTCAGATGCGCTGTCCCCACACAAAGAGGGAATTGAGGCCCTGGGTCCAAAAAATAAAGTTTAATTTGATAACTTGCAATCAGACTTCTTAACTCACTGTAATTCCCCCTCAACACACAACCAGTGACTTTTATATATATATATATATATATATATATATATATATATATATATATATATATATATATATATATATATATATAGACAGACAGACAGACAGACAGACAGACAGATAGTGTGTATATACACACAAACTATGTCTAGTAACTGCTTTTAACCTGTGATGTACATAATTAACTGATGTTATTACGTTTTAAAGCCTTTTTCTATTACATTTGTGAGAGGGATGCAACATCATTTTGTTCTGCTGTGCACTTAGCAATAAAGTTAATCTTCAATAACAACTAGGCCTCTTCTAGAAATTGACCTGGTGGACACCTGAATAATTATTACAAACTGTGTAGTACTTTCCTGCATTATTATCAACGTCTGATTGTGTCTTCTCTTTCCTTTTAAAATACTAAAACAAATATAATTGTGACGGCTCTATGATAATCACTCACTTTGATGACCAGACACATTTAGGCTTTTAAACTGTTGTAAGTGAACTATTCATCTTTCTAACAACATCTTTATCAGCCAATAGTAAATATAGTTATTTACCTGATTGTTAGCATGCTGTCTGTGAACCTCTGGACAAGTGCTTTAATGAAGACAGGGTCGATGTTCCTCTTCTGCAGCTGGCTGAAAAGCATGTCCACATTTGGCATGATCTTGTGGAACAGTGCCAGGAAAAAACAGAAAGCCTCGTCTTCGAGCATCCTCACAAAGCCCCCCGCCTCTCTGACAGTCGGGGCATCAAAGTTCCCAGAGTCTCTGATGGTCTGGAAACACGTTAGGAGGTCATCCCTGTACTCGTACACAGTGTTTACAGCGCGACTGTGGAAGTTCCACCGTGTTGTAGAGGCTCTGGGGAGTCTATGCGCAACCACTTCGTCAAGCACGGTGGTTCGCTTGGGAGACCTGGAGAAGAAAGCAGAAAATCCTGCAAGGTCGGAAAAGAAAGTGCCGATCCTGGGGATGCGTGAAGTAGCCTGCTGCATGATGAGGTTCAGCTGATGTGCATAGCAGTGGACGTAGTGCGCATTTTCGTACACATCCACTATTTTACGCTGCACTCCAGCCGGTGGCTCCCCTCATCACACTTGCTCCGTCGTAAGCCTGGGCAATAAGTTTGGCCTTTTGTCCATGTGAGAGTATGGTGCTGAGCCTCTCCAGCAGCGCTGTAGCGATGGTGTCGGCGGTTGCGTTCTCGATCAAAATGAACTCGAAAAAACGCTCTTGGACGTTACTTTTAGCATCGATGTAGCGTATCACAAGCACCAACTGGCAGTGGGTGGAAACGTCAGTCGTCTCGTCAGCTTGAATGGCGATAAAATCAGCACTCTTTACTTCCTCCAGGATGTAATCCTTAAGCACTGACAGCATACAGTCCAACAGCTCGTTCTGTATCGTCTTTGACGTGCCCTTAAAAACGGTAGCTGTCTTCAGGTGCTCCTCCAGCACACTGTCGAGGGAGGCAACAAAATCCACTAAGCCCCGGAAAATGCCGGGGTTGTCCGAGGAGTCAGTCTCCTCGTGCCCACGCATGGCCAACTCAAAAGCCCCACAGAACTTCACACAATCGATAATTTTGGATAGAATGTGCCTGTTTTTATCCACCTCCTCATTGTGTTTCCTCACCGCAATCCTGTGGCCGTCATCCAGCTGCGTAGCAATGTTCACCCTTCCTAATACAGCTAGCTTTACAGAGTTGTCCATGTGTGCCCTGGTGTTCTCATGTTTCTTTACCTTCTCTGACAGGTGCTTCATATCCCTCACTCCGGTACCTGTCCATGCTGAATCTGACCCCGTCGTTTTAAAAAGCAAGCACGGAAAGCAAAATAAAGCATTAGCATCAGTGCACCCAGCTAGCCAAGCCTTCCTGGTGTACCAGCTACGGGAGAAGCCGCGCATATACTGCTTCCCTTTCTCGCTAGCCTGCTGTCTGATTGAGAGGTCAGGTTGATCTGGGCCCAGCTCTTTCACCCGAACTTTCTCTGACAAAGTTCTCCTCTCAAACGGATCTTGGAGGAGAGATTTCACCGAGTTAGGGTTGGGTCTTGGAGGAGTAACGTTTGCGCTCGCCATTGTCGTCTAGTAAAAATGGCGCCACTGGAGCCCGGTCCTTATTTTATCAGGGGCGAGCTTGGGGCGATAAAATAATCGCCCTCCTTGGATTCGATTTAAGATCGCTGATTGGCTACATTTTATGTCATACATTCATATCTTAAATTAGCAATTGGCTTAACTGCTACGTAGACCCGCCTCCTCGGGGCACTTTCTGTATCGCCCAGAGCTGACGAGGCGTTTGACAGGCAGAGGAAAGGTTGCGAATATGATTTTCTATCATATCTTACACATATTACTGTGTGCATTCCATATTTCAAACACACAAATATTGACATACTGATGTTTTTATTATTATTATTATTATTTTTATTTATTTTTTATTTTATTTTTTTAAATAATTTTATTTAAGGGGGCGGCGCCCTAGCGCCCTCTATCGGCCAGCCGCCACTGGTTCCTTCTATGGAACTATGGACCATGGACTTGGCAACCCTTTCCCCATTATCCTACATGGCATGCCCTTTGCTGTTGTAAATGTTCCTTTATGAATTAAGTGCTCCTCAATGACCGTCCATATCCAAATACTGTGAAATAATATAACTATTTTATGTAAAAATTGATAATGAACATTCCTCTGTCCTTCCTCTGTCCTTCCTCTGTCCCCTTTTCAGATTGGGGCATCTCTCTTTGCCAGCAACATTGGCAGTGGGCATTTTGTGGGCATTGCAGGGACTGCGGCTGCAGCTGGAATTGCCATTGGCGGATTCGAATGGAATGTGAGTAGCAACGTCTAAAGTAAATACCATGATAATCTTATGCAAACATCATCGTAAACTCTGACACCTGATATTATCCCTCATCACATCTCCATCTCTATTGCACTTTATTTGTATAAAAGGTGATAAACAAATAAAGTATATTATATGTGTATTATCTATACATTCTGGGGCTAATAAGCCTGTAGGTTATTGTGTAATTGTGACTATATGATCGATACTAGAGCACAGCAGTGGATGAAAGCAATAACACTTCAAGTAAAAAGGTGAATCTGTCATTTGATGAATCTGAGCCCTTAGGATGTGTGTTTTTCAGGCCCTTGTGGTGGAGATCATTCTTGGATGGCTCTTTGTGCCCATTTACATCAAAGCGGGGGTGAGGACAACCTTTTGTGTTATTAGAGTTTAATTACCATTTTACCAAGCTATTTCTTACATTTCTGTAGCATAAAATCAAGTGCTATTCTCCAGTGTAATCGCGTCTACTGGGTGTGTTTAGGTGGTGACCAGGCCAGAGTACTTGAAGAAGAGGTTCGGAGGGCAGCGCATCCGCATCTATCTCTCAGTGCTCTCACTCTTCCTCTATGTCTTCACTAATATCTCAGTAAGTTCCTCATATCTCTGTTCATTGTATATCACTGATGTTCAGTCCATAAAAACGACTAGGCATGTACAATAACCCCATTTAGCCCATATAAACCCTTCCTTTGTCCCATATTCTCTCTCTCTCTCTCTCTCTCTCTCTCTCTCTCTCTCTCTCTCTCTCTCTCTCTCTCTCTCTCTCTCTCTCTCTCTCTCTCTCTCTCTCTCTCTCTCTCTCTCTCTCTCTCCCTCTCTCCCCTCCCCCGCCATCTTTATTAACCAGGCTCTGGGGCTGAATATCTACCTTGCTGGGGTTCTCCTGCTAAGTATCACTGCTCTATACACTGTCACAGGTATACTTTTGTATACTACTTTAAATGGGGAGGACGGGCTCATAGTAGCTGGAGCAGTCCTCCCCTCACCAGCCTCCTCTGTCACTTATACACTATATAACTAATTCACTGAGAGGAGCCCTAGATCAACTGTGTCCCTGTAAACCAATATGGAGCTCTTATCTGTAATGCTAACTGCACCATGGCGTCCTATATGGCTGTATTTGAGTCTTCATAACAAGCTATGTCTGACGACACATATGCCCTCCTCCAATGCTGTTTATCTCCTGTGCATCATGGGTATTTAGCCATACTCCCTGATATAACTTTTTTGTTCTCCACTGTAATGATGCATTAATGCCTGGACTTTAGTTAACTGACAGGCCATCCCAGACTGTCTCTGTATACGCAGGGTTTCCCAAACTCAGTCCTGCGTTTTGTTTTTTGCCCTAGCACTACACAGCTGATTCAAATAACAAACTTGTCATCAAGCTTTTATTATTTGAATCAGCTGTGTAGTGCTAGGGCAAAAACCAAAACATGCACTGAGGGGGGGCCCCAGGACCAAGTTTGGGAAACCCTGCTGTATAGGATTGGGTTTAGTGCAGGTTTTGTAAATCTCATACACACGGGAGGTGTGTTAACTGATGAAAATAGAGTGACTCACAAAATCAAATACTGTGATGCGCACGTGATACATCAATCGTTTCGAGGTAGAGTCAACAGCAAAGGGTGTGTGTATTATTATTCATTGTTAGATATTAAGTGTGACACTCTGGCTCTATGGACTTTATAATTGAGCCAGGGTTGTTCATTTTCATGTGTTTGGGTGTATTTCATTTGGTGGTGTTGGGGATGGGTGAGTTTCATTTTGTTTGTGTCTATGGTGATTGGTCTATGACTCCCAATCGGAGGTAACGAGTGTCAGCTGTCGGCTCGTTATCTCTGATTGGGAGCCATATATATTCTGTGTGTTTTCTCCTTTGTTTTGTGGGTTATTGTTTCTGTTAGTCTGTATCAGTATTTTGAACTTCACGTATCGTCATTTGTTGTTTTCTTCGTGGTTGCTTTATTAATAAAGTCATCATGTTCACTCCACGCGCTGCGTATTGGTCCGCTCCTTCAGACGATCATGACAGAAAAACCCACCACAAAAGGACCAAGCAGCGTAACAAGCGTGTCCAGGAGCCGAGGGTCTGGACATGGGAAGAGTTATTGGACGGAAAGGATCCTTGGGCACAACCGGGAGAATATCGCCTCCCTCGTGAAGAGCTGGAGGCAGCCAAAGCCGAGAGGAGGTGGTACGAGGAGGCAGCGCGAAGGCGAGGCTGGAAGCCCGTGGAAGAGAGGCAACCCCAAGAAATTTTTTGGGGGGGGCACATGGCTTGGGCAGCTGGGCAGCAGGAGGCTGCCACAGGGAGAAAAGGAGAGAAGGCTAACGGAGTACGGGAGCCATTGGCGAGTGGAAGGAGGGAAGTTGTTGTGGCACGGCATGAGAGACTGAAGTGTGTTACCAGTCCGGTCCGGCCCGTTCCTGATCCGCAGTTAAGGCCATTGGTGTGTGTTCCCGGTATGGACCGGCCTGTTCCTACTCCACGCACCAGGTCCACGATGTGCGTCGCCAGCCGGCCAGAGTCTGCCGTCTGCCCTAGGGCGTCTGAACTGCCCGTCTGCCAAGCGCTGCATAAGCCGCCCGTCTGTACTGAGCCTGCAAAGCCGTCCGTCTGCCATGAGCCTTCAGAGCCGTCCGCCAGATCGGAGCCGCTAGAGCCTTCCGCCAGACAGGAGCCGCTAGAGCCTGCCGCCAGACAGAATCATACACCTGCTATGGAATCAGCAGGAGCCGACGCAGCCCATACTAGACTGGAAGCTCAGGTTCGGGACCAGAAAGAGCAGCTCCTGCAGATGGGAGCCGCCCTGCTGGAGGTGATGACTGCAATCCGAGGCTGGGGTCCGCCTCCACCGCCAGCCTCCCAGCCAGCACCATCAGCCAGCCATGAGCAGCCAGATCTGTCGTCTAGCCAGGATCCGCCAGAGCCGTCCAGCAAGGATCCGCCAGAGCTGTCCAGCCAGGATCCGCCAGAGCCGTCCAGCCAGGATCCGCCAGAGCCGTCCAGCCAGGATCCGCCAGAGCCGTCCAGCCAGGATCCGCCAGAGCCGTCCAGCCAGGATCCGCCAGAGCCGTCTAGCCAGGATCCGCCAGAGCCGTCCAGCAAAGATCCGCCAGAGCCGTCCAGCCAGGATCCGCCAGAGCCGTCCAGCCAGGATCCGCCAGAGCCGTCCAGCCAGGATCCGCCAGAGCCGTCCAGCCAGGATCCGCCAGAGCCGTCTAGCCAGGATCCGCCAGAGCCGTCTAGCCAGGATCCGCCAGAGCCGTCCAGCCTGGATCCGCCAGAGCCGTCCAGCCTGGATCCGCCAGAGCCGTCCAGCCTGGATCCGCCAGAGCCGTCCCGCCGGGATCCGCCAGAGCCGTCCCGCCGGGATCCGCCAGAGCCGTCCCGCCGGGATCCGCCAGAGCCGTCCCGCCGGGATCCGCCAGAGCCGTCCAGCCGGGATCCGCCAGAGCCGTCCAGCCGGGATCCGCCAGAGCCGTCCAGCCGGGATCCGCCAGAGCCGTCCAGCCGGGATCCGCCAGAGCCGTCCAGCCGGGATCCGCCAGAGCCGTCCAGCCGGGATCCGCCAGAGCCGTCCAGCCGGGATCCGCCAGAGCCGACCAGCCGGGATCCGCCATTCAGCCTGGTACTGCCCCTTAGTCCGGTGCTGCCCCTTAGTCAGGTACTGTCCCTTAGCCCGGTGCTGCCCCGTAGTCCGGTGCTGCCCCTTAGTCCGGTGCTGCCCCTTAGCCCGGTGCTGCCCCTTGTCCCGGTGCTGCCCCTTATCCCGGTGCTGCCCCTTATCCCGGTGCTGCCCCTTAGGCCGATGCTGCCCCTTAGTCCGGTGTTGCCCCTTAGTCCAGGTGGGGTTAGTTGGAGGGTGGTCATTGGGAGGAGGCTACCGAAGCAGGTTGTGACTGTGGTGGGGTGGGGATCACGACCGGGGCCAGAGCCGCCACCGTGGACAGACGCCCACCCAGACCCTCCCCTAGTCCTGATGTTGGTGCGCCCGGAGTTCGCACCTTTAGGGGGGGGTACTGTGACACTCTGGCTCTATGGACTTTATAATTGAGCCAGGGTTGTTCATTTTCATGTGTTTGGGTGTATTTCATTTGGTGGTGTTGGGGATGGGTGAGTTTCATTTTGTTTGTGTCTATGGTGATTGGTCTATGACTCCCAATCGGAGGTAACGAGTGTCAGCTGTCGGCTCGTTATCTCTGATTGGGAGCCATATATATTCTGTGTGTTTTCTCCTTTGTTTTGTGGGTTATTGTTTCTGTTAGTCTGTATCAGTATTTTGAACTTCACGTATCGTCATTTGTTGTTTTCTTCGTGGTTGCTTTATTAATAAAGTCATCATGTTCACTCCACGCGCTGCGTATTGGTCCGCTCCTTCAGACGATCGTGACATTAAGGGCCTCATTTTCAGTCTGCAAGGCAGCCCTCGCAAATGTATCTACATGTAGGCCACCGTGTCTACTCTGTTATCATATAAATATTAATGTACAGCACTACTGAGTGAGATTTATTACATTTTAGTCATTTAGCAGACACTCTTATCCTGAGCAATTAGGGTTAAGTGCCTTGCTCAAGGGCCCATCGACTGATTTTTCACCTAGTCAGTTCGGGGAATCGGTTACTGGCCCAACGCTCTTAACTGCTAGGCTACCTGCCGCCCATTGATTCTATATGATAGATAAACATAAAACGAGCAACTGAACCATTAAAAGGCTATCCCTTTTGACCAGGGGCAATCATTACAGTAAAAAATAAAATATCACATTTACAGTGTAAATGAGTACTACAGGGATTTTCCACAGTTTAGTCATTGACTGGACAACCCTGTATGAGTAATGATTGGTATTGTATTGTGCTGTATCTCACCAAGTGTACTATACCTCAGGTGGACTGGCTGCAGTGATCTACACAGACACTTTGCAGACCATCATCATGGTTGTGGGATCTTTCATCCTCATGGGTTATGGTAATGTCTCTTTATGCATCTATGTCCCTCATACTGCCCGGTTCCTCTTTTCCAGTTCCCATAACGCTATATCTCTTCCTCCGGATAATTATCCAGCCTTTCTCATTCCTCTTTCTACTGCTAGTTCATCTGTGATCACAGTTTCCAACCCTCTCCTGTCTGTCTCCTCAGCCTTCAATGAGGTGGGAGGTTATGAGAACTTCCAGGAGCGCTACATAACGGCCATGCCTACTCAGACTGTGGTCAACATCAGTGAGAGCTGCTACACCCCTCGGCCTGACTCCTTCCACATCTTCAGGGATGCGGTGACAGGGGACCTGCCCTGGCCAGGCCTGGTGTTTGGTCTCAGTGTCCAGGCCACCTGGTATTGGTACACTGATCAGGTAGCCTACTGCTCTGTAGGAAATTAACAAGTCTAACACCCTCTCTCCCTCCTTCATTCACAGGACAGGCACATGCACGCACTCGCGTCAGGTATACACTTGTATACATGCACTCTATCTAACCCCCCATCTCCCTCCACACACTAATTTGTGCATCATTAACATGGCCACGCTTTCCAAACAGCTTGCAGCTTGTCTTAGCTTAAGTGACTACCTTATGAAGAGAGGAACACTTTTAGTTAGACCCAAATGCGTTCCCACAGACTAAGATAAGATTAAAAGCCAGTAACACAGAGGTGACTGTGAACAAAGAACAGGATGTTGCTTCACACATGGTAAATACGGGAGTTGAAACAGCCTATTACATCAGCAGAACTCAAAGCTTCTCTTTTTTTATTTTAATTTTTTTGAATATTAAAACATACATTCTACCTGCAGTGAAGCCGCTCAACATTTACATCACATTCAGTCATCCAACAGACTCCCATCCAGAGCGACCCATAGAAGCAACCAGGGTCAACTCTCTGCCCAAGTGAAAACGGGGACCCGAACCTGCGACATATCGCCAGGCCACCAACCCTCCAAGATCCCCCCACCCCTCAATAATAAAGTACCTCTCCCAACCCTCTTTTTAGGGGTTGATACATTTTTCAAAAGTCGAAATTACAAACTTCTGAAGCCTTTTTACACCTCAAATACACTACAAATATATAATTTTTCTGCATTGCAGGAAAGTTCTTCTGTAACAGGGTGATCAAATTAAGATCCTACATCTGTAGTAACAATGACAGTCCTGGCACCACTACCAACACGATTACTACTGCTACAAATAGTGTACTATTGTACTAAATACAGTACTAGTCCTTATACCAGGACAACAGTTGTTGTCTACTACAACCAACCATCACATTTGTTCAGCTCTTTATTACTTCTATTTTATATTTTCCACACCTATCCTAATCCACCTTCCATTCCATCCTGTTCTCCTTCTCATTCCCCCCTCCCTGCGCTCTCTTCCTGTCCTCAGCCTCTCACCTGCAGGTCTGCGAGGCCTGATGTTGTCGGTGATGATGGCGTCTCTGATGAGCTCCCTGACCTCCATCTTCAACAGTGGCAGTACCCTGTTCACCATGGACATCTACACCAAGATACGCAGCTCCGCCTCCGAGAAGTAACTCATGATCGCTGGGAGGTACAGTAACACACATCTCTGCGTGCTCAAGTCCTTTGGAGTTAAATTGCTTTAATGTACACTACCAGTGTAGGGCGGCACACAATTGGCCCAGCGTCGTCTGGGTTTGGGCGGTGTAGGCCGTCATTGTAAATAAGAATTTGTTCTTAACTGACTTGCCTAGTTAAATAAAGGTTAAATAAAATAAAAAATTGAAATTAAAATTGAAATGCATTCCAGGTGACTACCTCATGAAGCTGGTTGAGAGAATGCCAAGAGTGTGCAAAGCTGTCATCAAGGCAAAGGGTGGCTATTTGAAGAATCTCAAATATAAAATATATTTTGATTTGTTTAACACTTTTTTGGTTACTACATCATTCCATATGTGTTATTTCATAGTTTTGATGTCTTCGCTATTATTCTACAATGTAAAAAGTAGTAAAAATAAAGAAAAACCCTTGAATTAGTTGGTGTGTCCAAACTTTTGACTGGTACTGTGTATATGTGACTATGCTAGTGTTTGTGTATGTTTGTATTTTAGATAAATGGGTAAGATTGATATTGATGTATTATCCTTGTCTGTGAAGGGTATTTATCCTGGTTCTAATCAGGGTAAGTATAGCGTGGATCCCTGTGGTCCAGTCTGCTCAGAGCGGCCAGCTCTTTGACTACATCCAGTCCATCACCAGCTACCTGACCCCGCCCATCGCAGCCACCTTCATGCTCGCCATTTTCTGTAAGCGTGTCAACGAGCCAGTGAGTCTCCATCTAAACCAAACTGACTGTGATATAAACTAGTTTACTTTAGCTACTTGTTGTTTGAACTGGTTAATTTAAGCTGTGGTTTTATGCAGTGTAGTTTATCTGTACTCTGCCGGTTTAGCTCAAAGGTCCCTGGTTACCACGTTCACCATTTACTGTCTTGTTCCTGTAAACTTTTTTTTGTGTAACAGGAAGTGAACCATGAGAAAGCGTTGAGTTACAGACTTCTCTTCACTCTCCTCTCCCCCCTTCAGGGTGTGTTCTATGGGCTTATGATAGGCTTGGCTATTGGCCTATCCAGGATGATCGCTGAGTTTGCCTATGGGACGGGCAGCTGTGTGGCTCCTACTAACTGTCCTAAGATCATCTGTGGGGTCCACTACCTCTACTTCTCCATCATTCTGTTCTGCATCTCCTGCCTGGTGATACTCACCATCTCCCTCATGACCAAACCCATCGATGACAAACATGTAAGTTACAACTGCCCCCGATACCCAAATGTATTTTGTTATTCTTCCATCCGTGAATGCTAATTATATAAAAACTCATTCACTCTGCTATCTGTAAATTAACTTCTCCCCATTTGTTTGTCCCATGCCTCTCCCTCCCTCCATCTCCAGCTGTACTGGTTGTGCTGGAAGCTGAGGAACCACACAGAGGAGAGGTTGGATCTGGAGATAGATGATTGGACAGAAAACCAAGAATCAGACTATATGGATATTGACGGTAAGAGAGGTCTCTCTCCATCTGCTATTCCGTGACATACATACAAACAAATGTTTTTAATACATCTACACACGCGCACACACACTGTGTCCTCATTCCTGTGTTTGTGTGTCTGTGCAGAGCCCACAGAGGAGCCAGGCTGTTGTAAGAAGGCATTGTTGAGCTTCTGTGGTTTGGAGAAGTCGAATGCTCCCATGCAGAGTGCTGAGGAGCAGGCTGAGCTGCAGAGGCAACTCACAGACACCTCAGAGAAACCCCTGTGGAGGAACGTGGTCAACCAATGGCATTATCCTCCTGTGTGTCTGTGTCTTCTTCCACGGCTTCTACGGTTAAACATCTCCTCATCCTGGACCTCCACTGCCCTGGAGTCTGGACTGTCTAACCATAAACTTGAGTAGTCTCCTCTTTCAACCCTGAAATCCCCCCCAGACTCACAGGCCCACGATGCACTGTACATGGCTACCTCTCTTACACGCCCTCCATCTATCCATCATCTGTACAGGTCCCTCTTAACATCTGAACTCTGTTTTATCCACAACCCCGTAACGTGGTCAATGCTACGAACGCCTTGGCTTCAAGATACCCTTCTCCATACCTGTATGACTGTCCCAGACACTATCTGGGAGTCACAACACTCCTTCGTTTGGTGTTCTTTGGTTTATGGACTTTAACATTTTGTGCATGTAAGATGAATGTGTAATGATGATGATAATAAGGATGATGATGATGCTGATGAAGGATCTGAATAGGACTCAGTGTCCAATGGTATCCAATGTTCACTTTGAACTTTCTGCCCTTCATGAAGTTACTATAGTTTGGTATATTGCAAACACTAGGTGGGGCTGCAGTATGAATAAACTTTAGATTTGAATGAGTGTCATTACCAAGATAACACTGTACTGCCAGTGGATTTAATGGCATTGACACATAAAATGTCATGCAATTAGAGGAAAAATACCATATACATGAGCATGCATGACATGTACTAACTTTGATATCTAATTAATAATGTATTCCATCTTAGTTAGAAAAAAGTTTAACACTAACCTATTTTTTCGGAGCGGGAGGGACTCACAAACTCACACATTCCATCTCCTACCTGGAATCGAGCCTGGTTTTCGTGACATCAAAGTCATATTTCCTCTTTCCTCTAGCTGTCATTTTGTTTTGCTATGTGTTAATGAATGGTATCTCAAAGATGGAAGGAGCAGTGAATTTTCTCATGATACTGGGGTAATTGTCCACTTAATATACACACACACACATCCAAGCCATGCCCCCCTGCTTGTCACAACACTAAGTGCACCTGGAGGACCGACAATGTAAAATATCACGGCCATGGTTGGTTTACACTCTGTTAGTGTAAGTATACATGTTGCAAGAAGTATACCCTAACCCTAGAATGGTATCGTTTCAGCAAACCATGACACCCACCATGTCAGATTGTTCTGAAATGGTTTATTTAGTTAGAAACAGATAAGATAAGCATTCCTGCAACATTATTTTGTTGAAAGACAATTTGAACTCTGTGAAATTAGGTTTATTGATTACACAAATATTTGCCATTTCAATTTATAGAATTCATATAATATTCAATAAATATAGTACTCCCCCATCCAATTTGGACCAAACCTCTTCCTAACAATGATTAGGATGTGAGGAATATTTTTTTTTTTTGTCAAAAGCCACCCAAGGACCCCCCAAACCCCACACCAAGCCCACCCCAATGGCCAGTATACAGTATCAGTTCTCTGTCTGACAAGTAGTATGAAGCTGCGGCCTGGAGTATTGTTTCTTCATACTATGTAATGTATTCCCAGTGAATCTGGTGATGGTTGTTTTCCCCTGTTCAGAGAAATTAGGGCTAGATTTTCTCAGATCCAAGCTAACCGGCATCCACATAGCGTATTAGGAGGTGCACTGCATTACAGCTGTCAAATCCACAAGAGGCTCCTTGCGATTCCAAAATAGCCCCATAACCTCTAAAAGTCTAAGCCTAAGTCATATCATAATGTCTAGTTTGATGTACTGTTTTATTTATGATGTAGGCTATTGTTTTACTATGATGTATTGGTCATATTCTTGTTTGGACCCCAGGAAGAGTAGCTGCTGCCTTGTCAGTAGCTAATGGAAATTCTAATAAATACTAAATACTAAACTTTACCCAGTACCAGGACATTTTAACCGAAAACCTGGTTGCCTTTGCTAGGAGGCTGAAACTTGGCCGCAAGACCCCAAGCACACATCAAAATCCACAAAGAAATTGTTAATTGGCCACAACTTCAACATTTTGTAATGACCATCTCAGTCTCCGGACATGAACCCAATTGACAATCTGTGGTTTAAATTGAAGAGGGCAGTCCATAAGTGCAGACAAATATTTTATTAATTTTTTTTTGTCATTTAGCAGACGCTCTTATCCAGAGCGACTTACAGTTAGTGAGTGCATACATTATTTTATGTTTCATACTGGCCCCCCGTGGGAATCGAACCCACAACGCTGGCGTTGCAAACACCATGCTCTACCAACTGAGCTTCATCCCTGCCGGCCATTCCCTCCCCTACCCTCGACCATTGTGCACCGCCCCATGGGTCTTCCGGTCGCGGCCGGCTACGACAGAGCCTGGATTCGAACCAGGATCTCTAGTGGCACAGCTAGCACTGCGTGCTCGGGAGGTCAATCAATATCAAGGATCTGGAAAGATTCTGTATGGAGGAATGGTCTAACATCCCTCCCAATGTGTTCTCCAATCTTATAAAACATTTGAGAAAAAGGCTCAGTGCCGTTATCCTCGAAGGGGAGGGTGCCGGAGAATTAAAAACAGGGGTGCCAATAATTTTGACTTGTTAAACTAAACGTTTATCTTTAAGCAATTGTATTAGCATAAAATAATATAATAATAATACAAAATGAGCAGACAATATAGCTCAGTATTTGTATTATTTATTTTATATAGTATTTTTTGCTCCACTTTATCAAGGTTGCCAATCATTTTGGTTGTGACTCTACATCATACATTGTTCTCTCTATTTCTCTACAGCTTATAGTGTGTCATAACTCTTTCGTTTTTTTCCACATACCTATTTCATCATAATAACAAAATGATGGTATCTTAGTGTTTGTATAGAAAGACACAGATATTCTTCTTTCACAGCTAAAGTATAAAGAATCAAGCAACTTCAATGGAATGTTCTCTCAATGAGTGCGTTATATAAAAACACACACATATCTTTTCAGTCCGATCAGAGGATTATTTATAGGTCAACATCGTTATGTAACGCTAATCTGTGATGGCTATGGCATGACGGCCAGGCAGGGACACTGCTTTTAAGTGTCTGCCACTTTGTGTTTGTGAAAGCGAGCTAATGACATGAATATTTCCATGTCTTATGTGATACTGTGTTTCAGTGAAATCTCACCATAAGTATTAAAAACCTCTATGTTGTTTTGAATAATGCAGATATTTTTCTATGTGGTCAGATTTTCTTAAATGAACTGTGTGGCTCAGTATGGTATGTTGGTCTGTAATGCAATGCAGTATACTTCCTGTGTGTTGTGTCAAATATGAGGGATTTGTTTTGTGCGATAGCTTACATAAGATATTCTATATTTGAATGTTTTTCAATTTCAGATGTGCTGCACTCTGCAGATTATATCTATTTGTTAGCAGCTTCCTGTATTTCCTGTGTGCCTGGCCTATGTACGGAGAATGTGTGTGTGTGTTTGTGTGTGTGATGGATTAATACTGTATATGGAGTATGATTCAGTGCTCTCTGCACATAGCCTTCATCTTTCAGTAGGTTGTGTGTGAGTGAGTGAGTGAGTATGGGTGGGTGGGTGTGTGTGCAGGGGAGAAGGGGGTGGGTTTTTCAGGGCCCACATTGGCCGAAATATTTTTACTGGCGACTAGAAAACGTGATCCAGCCTGCAGAGGCACTGCAGCGGAGACTGCAGAGAGAGAGGGTGGGAGGGAGGGAGAGCAAGAGAGAGCGAGAGCAAGAGAGCGAGAGAGAGCAAGGAGAGCGAGAGCAAGAGAGGGGGAGGAGAAAGCATCAAGACATTTTCAGGTCGAGAGAAAGAGAGAGAGACACATAAGTTACATACGGTGAGAGAGACAGAAACAGAGTATGCGTGAGCCGGTGTGTGAGTGTATGCACAGAGGCGCATTGACAGAAGCTGAGAAGGAGAACGGGAGCACTGAGACGGCACTGAGGGAGAGATAACAACAGATGGGAATAAAATAAGAAAGAAAGGAGGAAAGACAGCAGTAAATACCTGAAGACCTGAGGCTCCTATTGAGACCAAATAGGAAGATAGAAAGAGAGCGACAGAGAAGAGAGGAGGAGAGGAAGATACCCAGAGAGACATCACAAGAACTCAAGTAATTACACAACCTCTTTGGCTGGCTGACAGACAGAGAGAAAGGAGGAGGGGTGGAGAGAGAGCCGGTAGCAACCGCCACTCGGCCACACCACGGAGGAAAGGGAGAGAGGGAGGGAGTGTGAAGGACGAAGGGAACAGAGAGGAGGAGGAGAAGAAGAGGAGGAGGGCTCCACCACCAGTCTCTGTCCTCCATCACTGTGGCTGAAGGAAGGAGTGACGCATCCACCATCTGACAGCTCAGCCTCCATCTTACCTTCCCTTCATCTTTATCTTCCTCCCTCCACCTCTATCATTTATCCTCTCATGGTCTCACAGACAGGAATGAGCACCTTGTCTCCTTTGCTCCTCTCCTCCTCCTCCTCCTCCTCCTCCTCCTCCTCCTCCCCTATGGCAAAACATCCTCTGTTCTGCTTTCAGATGCATGGGCCATTACACGCACAGGGAAGCTCTACCCTGTAACAAGACTATTGTCATTTCACAACACAGGACAGTATATCTAGGACAGTAATCTCCAAAACCAACAACAAAAGCAACATCAACAACACACAACAAGAAGCAGGCTTGGCAAGGTGGTAGGAGAACTGGGAGACCACATGACAGGACTGACCTGCAACACAGGTAAAAGGCTTGATCGAGGATGCATCAATGTGCGAGTCTACACTGAGGGAGGTCTGTGTATGATGTTTGTGTCTGTGCGTTCTATATTGTGTGTGTGTGTTTTGTGTCAATGTATGTGCTGGTGTGTGTGCGTGTTTGTAGTTCCGTGTCTTTGTGGTTCGTGCATTTCAGGTTGCGGTTGGTTGAGAGAGTAGATGCATCACAAACCTCCATTTTGAGGACACATGCACGGGCTTAGACACACAAACACACACACATGTATGCACCCGCTATGCTCACACACACACCTGGTGGGGGGTCGGATTCAGTCTACAGATATTCCATTGTTTGTTGACTGCAGGGGAAAGGGTATCTTTGGGGTATTTCAGATCTCTCTGGAGAGGGACAGGGGAGGGA